TATTATCTCAGCTGAATTGATACTATCGGGGCTGTAGAAATGTGTGCTATTTCTCATGCTGGTAAATGACGCGACGAGACGACGGAGACCGAATGTTGTAACCATTTACAATATCGCTCATTGCTTCATTCTACCATGGGGAGACATGCTACCACTGCGTATACCTGCAATCCTCGGGGCGGACATCCGGGAATTTTTACCGCCTGGCAACCAGCGGCGGTGAAAACAAAGGCCCAAAACTCGCAGAAAACGGTACTTTGGGATGATTGTTGAGACTCCTCTGAACAGTGTAACAAGATTAGCCCTACGTGTGTAACATATATAAATTTGGTTGTTCGGGATTACTTCAAAAATGAGTTTGTGTTGTTTTCTCGAATTTTCACCGGCTCGACCGGCGTTCCACAGCAGCGCGCACAGCGCCCATAGAAATGCATGTACAGTGGTGCGCGTCGTAGCAACGTGGAACGTCTTGTGACGTAGCTCCGCCCCCGAGGATACCTGCAATACATCGGCCGACAAAAACAAATCTTCCTGGGAATTGCGGGCGAATTGTCGGTTCGTTCCATCATTAGTAGCCTCATCTCCCTCCTCATTCGAATCTCGCATCCATCATCATAGATAAAAAAAGAAATGTAGATTCACATGTTAAGGTAGGGATTGTTATTGTAATACTCCTGTTTCTAAGTTGTTAAAATCTAAATTAACTTAAATAGGACGCAAATTATGAAAACATTCTGAAAGCGGTAAAGCGGCTTTGTGTTTGAGTCTTTTGTGAGCGTCTGTCATTTGAACAGTGTGGACCTAAAATGAAAACAAAACCTCTCCGAAAATCAAAGACAAACTGGTGTATGCTGAAGTGGGTCAGATAAATGGCATTCCCTGAATGGACTTTGTGAGTAGATACGTACGAGGTGAGAATATTGCACAATACGATGTGAAAATATAATTGTGAGTATTGTAATTAGATTAAATAAAAATGTGACCAAAGAAGATAAAGAAGATAAAGTTTTGGACAGTCCAAACTTTACCGCTTCTATGCTGTCAACGTGTCTGCGTTTTTAATCATAGTAAGAGTGATGCGCGAAAAATTAAACAATAAAAAAAAAAACATTTATTGTGTAACGAAACATAATCTACTTCAAGTTGAACGTATGAGTAAATCGTAAATCCGCTTCGTCGAGGTTGCGATGAGTGTCTGGGCTGCATGCGTCGACACTATAACCCAACGTCTAGTGACGATATGCGAAGATGCAGACTCCTCATGCGAAGATGCAGACTCCTCATCTCTTCCCCTCAAAAAAATTGTAACATTGACTTACGTGGCGATTTTATTTTAAATATTTGGCGTGTCGCTGGAACCCAGAGCCTGTTTGTGTCGAGAGCGCGTGGCAAATCGATTAATGAGGCGACTAGGACGGAAGCTTTTCCAGTTTATTTTTGTTTTGGCTTTTGTGGGATAATAGCATTGAAGTTTCTTTATTGTATTGAGAGCAGTAATGCAGAATGAGCGCTGTCAACACGGGTCGCAACACTAGAGGGTCATTTATTGGTCGTGAACTTGAGATCCATGACTTTTAATGGTTGTCATACCGGGTGGGCTGACGCCGAGTATATCGATCAGTGGCCCGACAATGATATCTTGCACAGAGTACTTAAAATCAATAACAGTAACTATCAGTTAACGTTATCGAATTCTATCTTAGAATATATTAAAAAAATACATGTGCACGTGCACGTTGAGGATTATGTACGCATGCTTTGTGTTTATCGTGTATGATTTCTAGTAATATTTTTATAATATACCTCTTAATCTTAACAAAGTTGTGTAGCACAATACCAGATACATTTTAATTTACGATGCTCCAAATGAAGAAAAAATAAAGTTTATTAAACCAAATGTCCCCTTATATTACTTCGCAATGTGGCAGACGCAACAGTTCAAACTCCATAAAATAACCTCCCCTTTTCTTTCGGGCCAATTAAAAATAAATGCCATCATTTAATTGGCCATTAAAAGATTGGGTGTAGACTTTTTTCTTTAGCGTTCTTTCCTTTCATATGTCTGACGTCTTCCGTTTCAATTCTTTTCTCAATGACCATATGGCCAATTTTATGTTCGTTAGTACGCCGCCAATGTGTCACGGACCAGAGCGGCCTGGATCCTAATCGGCGTCGTCTTGTATGGAGATGATAGACTGTCAGATCGACTGAGTTGTTTTGCTATTGAAAGCAATGACATGATTCCCAATAGATTAGTATCTGCGCTCATTTAAAGTCGGTAATGAGTTGTAAATTACGCTTTTTCGGTTTTGTTCTTCGGGTTTTTGTGTGTGCTATGATGATGACAAGAAGTTAATACGAGGAATTGACCTTGAACATACTAGTGTATTTGGGTTCTATAACGACAGGCAACGTATATTATGAGTAATGTAAAGAGTTTGTTGAAATCACTTTCTCTTGAGGGATCTAGATAACATAAAACTAAATTTAAAAGCAAAGAAAATATGTTCTTGGAGAATATAATATAACGCTGGCGAGTAACATACGATACTGAAAGCGTTCAATTCAAAATTTTGAGAAGTCTTAATTAAACTGAAATGCTCGATTTTATTTTTCGGCCGATGCCTATCATATATGCATCCAAGGACAGGGATGGGGATTGTGCTACAGCGCCCAAGACGTGCGTGTCGGGAATATGAAATCCCACATCGTTCTGTCGCGTCCCTTGTGAATGATCCCGGGCTCTTTGACCCTGAAGTGGGGCAAGTTCAGAGAAGATCGTTCGTGGATAAAAAGAAATAGTATTAGATCATTTACATTAATAAAGTTATATATATACTTTGCAAGTTATATATATACTTTGCCGAGATACGTTCTTGTGAGAGCGTCCGATAGTTGCGGACTACGGGGGTAACAGAGCTCCGTGAATCTATGTACGTAACCGAAGCTACAACACGTAACCAGGAAATCCATCCTCTCAAGAACCCCTCGACCCAACGAGCTGTCCATCTGACACGTTTCGGCCTGACACCTGCAACGCCGTGCGCGTGCAGTTTACAATTCACCAAACATGCGAACATGTGCCAGTGCGATAAATTAGCGATTAGCTCAACAGCACTTCGCGTTGTTGTATGAATCAATAAAAGAACCGAACTTCTGGTGGCCGGAAGGCTACACGTGCTGGCTCCTTTAGTAAGAGTCATGGCGTATATGCTGGGCATCTGCATCCAGGATTCTTGGTAGAGGGGATGTAATTTAGTAACACCGCCACGTATGCAGAAACACGTGCATTGTTTTGTATCTAGTGGGTTGGTTAGCCTTCTAGTACGACATTGATAGATCTGAAGATCTGAAATTCCACACCGAGCTAACGCCACGCCGCTCTCCTTCGTTGATTGAGTTGCGAATCGGGGATCACATAAAGCTTCTTATCACAAGGCTCCAGCACCTAGCCGAGTATCAGGTGACAGAAACGAGGTTGCTGTCCATTGCCTCGGGTCAAAACTGTCATTGTGCCAGGAAGATAAATGATTCAACCAGCGATCAGTTAAAACACGGCTTTCAGGTTAGCGTCAATGGACCTAAGCGAAGACAACTGGTAGCCCTATACGAAATGCATCACATTCGCATTATTGTCTATTTAGGCATTAATCTGAGCAGATTGTAGTGGCTCGCACGTGTCGTACGCTCTGTTTTTTAACAAATTTGCATGCACTCTGAGTGAAAGGAATAATACAGTCGTACAGTAATCGCTTGTAGCAGAATCAGTCACGTCTGGGTGGCTCTCGTACGGCGGGAAGCTTTGCCTCGTCATAGTGGCTTTCCAGAAACAATGAAATGTGCACTATTCGTTGATATCACCCATGCACGTTATATTCGACCTAAGTGCACACTCTCTTCAAGTTGACGGCTCCAGTTTGAGTTTTCATGACGAGATCACCAAGTACACCATATTCTTCCCCTATACAAAAACAACTAAGACGATACTTTAAATAAAAAGTTTTAGAACGCATTTTATGCGTCAGTGTTTTACTGAAGGAAACCTGAAACCGTAACGAAAAATGAGAATCGTACGTGATATACACATGATTTATAGCATTTCTCTTGAGGGCGTAGTCCGAAGGGAATGAAAGTACATGGTGTACTGGTTTCTGGACAATATTACGTCTATATCATGGCACTTATCTTATAGGTGAACTTTCCCCCTTTTGGTACTGTTGTATGTTTATTAGAGAATGTGCTACGAGTAATGTCTTTTTCATCTTTGTTGCTTGGCAACTTTGAAACCTCTATCGACGTATGATAGATTGAAACGCATAATATTATCACGACCGGTTCAACCCAAAGGGGTACATAGGCTTTAAATTAGACTATGTTTGCCCTGGAAATGAAAAGCGTGTTTTCTCCCCGCATGGATGCATTCATTATGCGTATGCCTGGTACAGTAATGCTTTGTTTTGTGATATTCAATAAATCGGAGGGGGTTATTCAATATTATAGCTGCGCTAGAGCATGTTTTGCAGATATGCACAAAACCAGATTATAGTCTGAGATGTTTGGAATCTATGTCGCACTCTTGATTCAGCGAGTTCGTAATCCGTTTTATTTTCCTCCCTTTTTATAATTTATCCAATTTTAGAATCAAATTGGATTTATGATGAATGCCGAGCTTGCTCCGCATAACTCAGAGGGATGTATGGGTGTATATGGAGATGCGTGGGTGTTAAAAAAAAACAAACAAAACAATAATACATAATTAATATAATATATCACTGTATTTTATTATAAACATACGTCATCTTAAAACAACGAACATTTGATTGCCATTCTTAATTACAAGTCATTGACAAAGAAGTTAATGACACAGACAATGGGCAGTGGATGCGAGCAATGATAAAGCGAACAACGCCGGACTCAGTGTACTGTTCTAAAACAAACCTATATTGAGAACACTTAATCAATCACCGAGTTACCAGTGAGTTAGTTCTACTCGCATTCTTGGCCAGGTTGCCTTCTCATTGGTATTTTGGCAGGTATTTGAATCAGAATTTGTTTTGCATGAAAGAACGGACATGCGAGTTCTGGTGTTACCATAAACACGCAGAAACTCATCGAAAACAAAACGAAGTTATGCCTGCAGTGTTTGGTCTGAATCAATGTTTGACAAACACGTGAGGGTAACTTCACTTTTTAGCTGAATGAAAAAAAAAAGTTTGGCAAAGATTTTACAAACTATAGTAAACGACACTCCCTTGTTTCTCCACTCAATAAATTACCCATATAAAATGTGTAGAAAATCTTCAAATATATTTACATTTCGTTTTCTTTAAATAATAAAAAATAATTGCATCAAAAACGGTCTACTGTCGGGGAAAAAAAAGTCTGAGATTTTGAAGCAGTTCTGACGTCAGCCACAATTGTGGACCCCGAGTAGCCGCATAAGTAGATAAAATAAAAGTAGGAAAAATATTTACAAAGTTGTTCAAAAGTTCACCTCGGTTCACACTGGCTTACTTGCTGAACCTTGCGATATTTGTGTACGGCGAACGCATGGTTTCCGCTGTACACTGTGAACACGTGCATGGCACGGGCCACCGATTATAAGCGTGGGCATCCACGTGTGCGTGCGGAGATGATATATCCTTTATCTGTGTACTGGCCGCCGTCACGGCGTTGGCAATAACGTCTCTGTGCAGGGCCGAAGACATGACCGGTACCCTTCCCCGGCTGACGCCGATTCCCGGATGATGTACAACTCCCGTACTTCCGCCTTGGTAGATGTCACTAACAAGGCGTTTCATCTCTTCTAAACTGCTTGACAACATCAGTATGTAGTTTTTGGCCAACAGAAGCGTCGCGATCTTCGATAACTTCCGCACAGACGGTCCGTGAGCGTAAGGCATGACTTCCCGGAGACCGTCCAACGCAGAATTCAAATCGTGCATTCGTTTTCTTTCGCGACTATTGATTTTCAGTCTCAGTTCTTGCTGGTCGCCCTCGGATATTGCTTTCAGTCCCTTTTCCGCTTTCCTCTTCATCTTGCCGAAGCGACTCGATGAAAGATGCCCAGTTGGACTGCAAGTGGACGAGAGGCTGTCTAATCGGTCATCGCTCAAGTCGGAGCTGCATTCACTGGCTGTGTCGTCGATGATAATGTCTTGTGGTGATGGAGCCATTTCGCTTCCGCTTGGTGATGAGACCTCAGGAAAGTTAGCCGACATGATCACCGCTACTTGCATTCAGGTCACGCTATGTGATTACGGGACAGTTTGAAAGTGCGTCACCTTTGAGAGTGAATGGAAGTTGAGTAATGCGACGAACAGTTGCTGGTTGCGAGGTTTTAATACGTTCACCGTGGATTAGACACAATGGGGACGTCGGAAGCGACAATGGTGGCCTTTCATGTGCAAACTTCAATCAACGTATGATTGGCTGACTGCCATGCCGCTGCCGTGTACCCAATCAAAGGACGCCCCTTTTCAAACAAGCGCCCGGCGATTGTGGCATTGTTTTACTCTAGCGGTACACATATGGCACAGAAATATGTAGAGAACGGCATCTCGTGCGTAGCCTCGTTCTACTTGATTGGTGTGCACGCGTGTCTCGCGTGCCCGCGACAGGCCGTTTCCAAGACACTAGCAGCCCGACAAGGGTAAGAATGCGCAGTGAAATAAAGCACTCGTCTTTTATGTTCTAAACTCTTTTTAGCAATGTTTGTTTCCCCCAGGCGTTCTACACGGGTGGACTTTCAAAACTAACAAATAATCTTTTTTTCTTTCGGGTCGCAGTACTTCTGAAATTCTGGTAAAACATACGCCTCTCCTTTGTCTGGGTTTCTTACAGGAGTTCTTAAGGCAAGCAAATTGTGCGACCCGTGCTTAATTGGTTTAGTTGACAAGCACTCCGCCATGTGTGTGGCGATGGTTTAGCGACAGAAGCGTCAGCAGAGAGCCGTAGTGTGGTTTCGACGGAGGCGGTTTCTGTCATTTGAATCTAAACCAAATCTGGCGATTTTTTTTTTAAATTTAAAATCGACACTATCAACGAAAATCACCCCCTTTTCCAAGTGAGTGTATTACGTGTATGCGTAGTATATATAGTAGATTGATTTCAGATTTGACAGCAAAACCGTTATGCGCTGATATAATATTGTTTAAAAAAACTTTGTAAGTCTTTGCGTAACACGGAAGCATTAGAGGTCGCGCATGCGCATCACTAAGTCTTGTTAGAACTGACTTCTATAAGAGGCCATTTGATTGGTTGTTCCATATTGAAGATATATTTAATCTTGACAAAAATATTCAATTTAATGCTTTATCTCATTCTTGAATTTGGTACTTTTGCATTATTTTTACTATTTACTACATCACAAAATGCACTACGTTGAACATATATTCCATAATTCTCGATATACATCAAAGCCCAACAAAGCTGCTAGCCAATTAAATTTCATTTGAGATGTGACGTTGGGTAAGCCATTTTGCCAAGCCGGTTGTAGACAGAAGTAAACATGCCTGTTTGTTGCGCAGCTTGTTCTGGGAAAGCTGTACTGAAACGCCCGAAAACGGTAAAATATTTTAATATTTTAGTTTTTATTCACACCCAGGTGACATAGGAATTGTAATTTGGCTGTATTTTATCGCGAATTCTATAAAACTATCCGGTCGCGCAGACAGTCTATCGGCGGTGAATGTTGATGGCGTCGGTGGTGCACATAGAAGCAGGCCACACTTTTGTCACACCGCGTGACTGTGGTCGTGTCTAATAACTCGTTACGGGTCGGAGTTATAGCGAAAATAGCGACTTCACCCCTTAGGGCGAGTGTGTCTGGCAGACCAGCTTACAAGCTTTATAACACGAACTGCAAAACTCAACAGCAGTCGACCCTGGGCACACGTGTGTCAGGCGTATTATACGCATGCTATTTCATTTCCGGGTTTTTGCGATCTAGATTCAATGTTTATTGTATTTGCCCAATGTTTCACACCATGTTCCGGGACAGCGCGTGCAGATACTTAGTGTAATCACTTTTATTAGTAATTCGGTCTAGTTCACAGTGTGTTTTGGATCGGTACTCCGGAGAGCAACGTATGCGTACTGTATTGCTCTCTCGCGCAGCGTTCGGTGTATTGGTATCTGAAATGCCGGTCCATAATCATTGGGTACTCGTACTGACGACGGTCGTTGTTTGTGGGTGAGATAGAATCTCCAGTTCTGAATGACTGATTCTTTTGTGATATCGGTGTTCTTTTCATTGATTTCAAAACAACAGATATAGAAATTTGGAAGCAAATGTGTTAATATTTTCAGTTGTACATTTATACTGAACAATGTTTTTTATTACCTTATCGCTGTTCATTGGAAACACACCCAAGTTGGTTGCCAGATACGGTAAAACGGTCTAATTTTGTGACAGACACATTTACATCGAAGTCCATGGAAATGTTGAAATTTGTGTTTGCAGTGTAAATTTTACTGTGGACAAGAAGTCCATCCCACCTCACAACATTTTGACTACAGGAGAACCCTTAAATTGTCAAGATTATTATCAGTAAAAATATAATGGTTTGCAGTAACTGGTTGATGTGCTATTTATTTAGATTGAATGAAATGTCTGCTTGCCAATTGCAATTGTTTATAGCCAATATTCGAACATGCGATGAATAATTACTATTATTGTCTAGAATTGATACTTTTGCAACATTACATTGTAAAGATAGGTTTGAATTATTGACAAACAAAAATATGCCCGATGGATGCCCTGATGGGTGTGTAACCAAAACTAAAACTGTTGTCAATATGCTTCAATTTTTTTTTTCCCTGAAGATTATCATTCTGATTTGTTCACTGATGATGAAAACTGAATATTTTTATTTCATTTTACTAAAATTCTTTGAGGGAAAAACAAAAATTTGGTGTGGATGTTTTCAACTGATGTAGATGCCATATATATATTTTTTTATATATTTTGTATTTACGGTGGTAGGTAAAAAAAAAAAAAAAGGCAACAAAGAAAAAAGATGCTTGTGTCTTTTGAATCCTAGTAAATATTCAATGTTTCAAAATATATTTTGTTTTGCAAAATTAAAGTGGTTTACAGTGAGAGACGTGTGGCCGCACAATTTATTGGATCTACAAAAGCTAGTGATTCAACCCTTCTCCGCAAATAGACATCTTCAGAACAATCTGTTTATTTCCTGTGTTTTTTCTTATTGTTAACAAATAAAATTAGTTACACCGGTAGCCTTATAGTTTATTCTCCGTATTTCATGCTTCTATTTGAAACTACTTTCATTGACATTAGTATTTCTACAGTCATGTTATTACTAAATAAGACCCATTATAATGATTCAACCATTAGTTTTAATTTTTCTTCCAAAAACAATTCAGTCACCTTCATAAAAGATTATAAGGATTATTGTACATATTTGATGAGCGTCATTGGCATCTTAATATCACCTTCATAGCCTTCATTAAGTTCATGCATGGTGTTCTCTCTGCATATTTGAAGCATGTTGCAGTACATGTGCACATTTCCACAATGTAATTAAACCTATTCAAAATAAATTAATAAAGAAAAATACCTAACATTTACATTCAACCCCCACACTACAAAAAGCTTGTAATACTCCAATAATGAATTATTCTGATTTTCTGTAATCATTTACATATTAAATATGTGTTAACTAAATGGGATGTAATTTACGTGGTATACCAGGTGTTGTATTATTGAGTCATAAATGAACTATCAAGCAAAGATAATCTCAAACCAACCAGTCACATTAGAAATTCTCTTTAGCGAGTCATCATAAAAGTTGTTTAATGACTATGACAATGGCTCCATGCCTAACGCAGATAATGTTATAATAACGATTGTTAAAAATTATGTAACAACATTTTATGTCAAAATTGCTGATAAAATTGCTCACTAGGGAGCAATGGAAGGTCAACAAGAAATTACTTTTATTACAAAATCCTAATCGTGTCTCATTAATTTGATGAAAGTGTTAAATTGTTTCCATCAAACTGATTTAAAAATATTTTTTTTATTATTATTGTCTTTAAAATTTGTGCCATGTCTCAGAACTGATTTTCCTACTTTTGCTATACTGAAACAGAAACCTTTTTGACTAAGTGCAACAAAACAGGTATGAACATACAAACTACTTGTATGGTCGGCGTATTTGAACACTGAAAATAGAGCCGCAAACCCATAGCCTGAATGGGTATACCACAGATTTAAATGAAAAGGCTTTACACACTGACCGTTATTCACTCACTAAGTGAAATTTTCAATTGGTTAATACATTGGAGGCCACATCAATTTTATTCCCTATCGAGTTAAGTTCTGCAAGTTCTTGTGTTGGTGGACAGTTTGAAAAACTGCTTTACCTGAAAAGGTCCAATTTTGCAATGTAAACTCGCGCCTCTATTCTGATTCACCTTCACCTTCATACTATTACAAAATTTATCCAAATAAAACAAAAAATTGGACAACAATAATTGACATTATGTTATGTATACTATTCACTTAAAAATGTTTCTAACTTTCTAAAATGCTTATGTGAGGAATTTCTCTCTTCACTCCAACTCCGAAAGACCCACTCCACAATCCCCTCCCCAATATTAAATGTGTGTCTCCTTATTAACATAAAGTATATGTCACTGGAAACTATCGGTACATTTACATATTTTTTTACACTTCTACAGATCATTAACCCTTTGAATTTGTTTTCCCTCTTAAAATTCTGTGCAAATATTTTCACATTTTGTCAAATTTCCAATAAATTTTATAACCATTTTGGGCCATAGGTTCAAAAGGTTCAGATATTGCTTTTAGTTTTGAATCAAAATTGTTGTTGATTTTTATTTCATGTGGACAGGGAGCAGACTAGAGAAAAATATTTCGTGGGTGGTGCCAAAAATTGACAATGACATTCAAAGTGTTAAACCTCATTACCTGTTTCATTAACACGCTATATTCTCAATGTATACAAATATGATAAATGAACAGTTACTGTGACAACAACTAATGAACAATGTTGTTTTCCACTGATTGCTTGGAGCTCACAAGTTTTATTATTTTATTTTTGTTTTTAATAAACTGTAGCATTTGACTACCATTTGACTTGCTATGTTTGCCTTGCTATAACTCTTCTACCATTTCACAAGTCTTCTGAAAATGCAGCAATCGCATGCTACTTTTGTTAATGTGCAAGTGAAAAGTGTTATCAATTGATTTGTCAACTTTGATTGTGGCTCCCTAGTGGGTGTTAATGTTGAACCATTTCCTGCCTGACTGTTCTTGTACTGTTATCAAAACAGTGTATATCTTCTTATCAGAATGCACAGAATGCTCTAGGATTCTGGGTGCTCTCTTAATTTTTTTTAGTGTTCTGATAATTGACATAAGAAAACAATGTAATTTTTACTAATTCATGTTTAGATGATTAGTGAATTTTGAAAACAAATTCTAATTTATTATATTTACTAATGACAGAGAAAGAAAATAGGTAACTCTATTATTTTTATCGAGAAACTGATTAAGTAATTGATTTGTTATTAAAATGTATAATTTTAACATGATCTACAAGATAAACCAGTTTGTATTGGAAATTATGCCTGACTGAATCATTACTCATCTTTAACCTCACTATCTTTTAACCCATTAAATTACTGATTTACCACTAATACCATAATATATACATGTATTATATGCTTATTTGATATTGGTTTTTAAAATAATTTGTATATTATTAAAAATTTAAAATAAAGTAATCTGCAGCACTAGTATATTGAAACAAACTATGTTATTACAAAAATTATATTTATTGTAGGTTGTAACATTAAAATAAGACTCACTTTGAACATAAACATATTTGTTATTTCTGTAATCACATGTATTCCTAATAAGGTAATCAGTTTGAATTGTATAATAGATTTGTTTTGTAGCACTGATTACTGTAAAGAATCAAATTTTTTAAAAGGATTTTATTTACTGTTAACGTAAGTACTATTATGTTTTCTCTTCTTAATTTTGCTACTGTTTCGTAAGACTTTTTTGTTGGTTATTACCCATGTTCCATACATGTGTTAATTAATTAAGCAGCTTATAATCTTAAGATACAGTAGTTGGAAACTAAGTATTGTTTCTATTTTATCTTCTAAGTGTGTTGAAAGCTATTATGTACTGTAATCCTTCTTTTAGTTGGCCCATCTATTTTCTGTTAAAGTAATATTTTTATATTATATTTTGCGATTGTTTTGATAATTTGTATGTAGACCTTGATCAGGTTTGTGATAACTTTAATTCTTTGATTTTGGTGATTATTTTTGTCATTTTCTGGTTAAATGTGGCTCATATGTATAATCCTTATGGATAATCTGGGATACCATAAAAGTACAAACATACATTATAGAAGCCCATCATATGCTTACATACTCCAGGGAGCTGTAATAACTCTAAGTCTATAAATCCAAGTACTATATGTTCTTTCTAATCTTTACAGTGGTAACAATTTGTGACCTCCATTTCCTCTTAAAAAAGCAATAGGTGATTTTCCGTAC